TTCAGTAGTATGTTTTTAAGATGTCTCGCAATTCAAAACCCATGAATACAGTATACTTATTAAATTGATTTAACAAATTGGAATGGTATAATTTATTTGAACTAATACTACAGTTGTTTACATCAAAATGGCTCTCAAATATTTATAGAGACTTTTATTATCTCAATTTGACAACTTGTAATGGTGGAAATTGTTAAACAGCAGTTATTTACACAAGAATAAATATCAAATACTTTTCGAGACATTTATTTTGCCAATTTAACTTTTAACTTAACTGCTTGTTGTGATATTCAATGAATAAGTACAATCAGACAGTTCAGAAGAATGTATCAACTACTCAGGTCACGCAAGAGACCAAACCTAATTGTCGGTAATGTTTACATATGGGTGATATTCGCATTTGTATTGGCATTATGGTTAGGTTCAGGTCTTGACGAATTAAACTGTATAGTAATTACTACATTAATTATTACCAGTTTATTCTCATGGAGTAACGTTTTTGGATTATATTGGGTACATAATGGGTACAAATAGTAACTAATTTGACATATTTTGACAGCTGCAACACTTATTACCACAATGGGTTTTTTGAACTATATAATTAATACCTATTGGAAGCAAAATTCAGGACAAATCAAAGAGTTGGTTGAGTAAGAGCCTAATATGTTCAAATGTCTTTAAAATATATTTAGATTACTGTCGACATGCATGCTTTAAAATTTTTGCAATTCCACCAATAAATAATCAATTTATCCACGGCATCAATGCAACTGCAAACGTGTGGCAAGTAATAATATATCTTGAATTTGCTATGCGAAAATGCGTAAGATTGCCAGTAAGAAGAGTCGCCATTTTAAAATATACAACTTTTTTCACTAGTCTATCACCTTACCCAGTATAAATTTGATGCGTAATTGGATTACTGGTTTTTAAATTTGATCTTCGTATAACATTTGTTTTGGATTGCTGTCACTGATAACATTTAATATTGAAACACACTTTCACGTTACACTGAAATTCAGGCCGATTGTTCGACAGGTTACTTAAATTGATATCCGCAATTTTTAATTTTCCTTGACAAATAGTAAATAATTTGACATATTATGACCTCTACGAGCTTTAGCAGATAAGACGATAATAAACGGGTATTTACGACTTGCCTAATCACTTCTCCGAACTTTAAACGTTGGAAATTACCCCCATTCCAAGGAGATCCGCTACGATGGACAGAGTTTCACGATACCTTCAGATCCGCAGTTCACGATGATCGACAATTATCAAACGTACAAAAGCTCACATATTTGAGGAGCTTTCTTACCGGCGAAGCCAAACGGACAATCGAAGGGCCTCAGACTACGGACGCCAATTACCTTGCTGCCTTGGATTTATTAACAAACCGCTATGGTCAAAGACAGACGATCATTAATTCGCACATGAGATCGTTCTGGGAATTATCACCGCCTTCGCATACACCAGCCAGCCTCCGCCTATTGAAAGCACGATACGAGGACTGACTGCACTTGGGGAAAATCAGGACAATTACGGTTATCTACTCGTCTCCATAATTATGAACAAATTACCCATCCCAACCCAACAGCAACTTGCGAGAAATCACGAGGAAGAAACGTGGACACTGAACGAATTGAGCCAAGCACTGCGTCGCGAGGTAAGAGTTTTATCAGTGGGAACAAACTCGAACCACGGAGCCGAGTCGCCCAATTCTTCGATTGCTGCGTTCTACACGCAAACAGCCCATCAGAGGGGTGGAGCTTCGCAAGACACCGCAACCATCCGCCAAATCGACGGAAACAATGTCGCCACTGCACGTAACAATCGTGATAGAAGACCGCGTCCGCCTCGGAGAAAGTGTATTTATTGCGACGAGCAACACAACTCGTCTACCTGCACTTCAGTGACAGACACTGCTCAACGAATGAACATTGTCAAACGTAATCAGCTCTGCTTCAATTGCCTTGGAAAACACGCTGTTTCCCAATGTCAATCGAAGTTAACTGCTGTATTTGCAAGAGACGTCATCATTCCTCGCTCCACTACCACAAACAAGACGATGGACAATCTACCTTGAAAACCCCTCATTTCGAACCTCCGACTCCCTCTGTCAGCGTCAATTTTACGCACGCTAGTCAGAAACCTAAAAGCCCGTATTCAGAGGGTCCAATATCCGAATTCCAAGTTAAACGCGTATTGTTGAAAACTGCAGTTATTCCGACATCATACAGAGAAAGAAAACTACAAGCAACCGTTTTATTCGATGAAGGCGCGGATCGATCCTTCATAACGCGTGAATTTGCAGCCAAATTAAACGCCAGAGTGCATGGTACCGAACTATTGATACTAAAGTCGTTCGACAATCCCAATTCGACTTTTCAAGACGTCAACAAAACCACCGTGAATTTAAATACGCGCTACAGAGATACCGTTCCCCTGAATGTGTTATACGTCCGAGAAATATCCAACGGCCTTGCTAATGACATTCCAGCAGACGTTGCTAACCTACCACATTTAGCAAAATTACGCCTCGCACAACAAGTATCAAACGCCACATCTATGAATGTTGACATTTTAATTCTTGCAGATCGCTACTGGGATTTTATTGGCAACAGAATCATTCGGGGTCCTGGACCTACTGCCGTGAGTTCCGCTTTCGGATTTCTACTTTTCGGGCCTGTACGCGGCGGTC